ACTCATGCAAAGCCGCAGCTTTCCGTGCCTTCTGGCCCTCAGCAGCCGAGGCGGGCGGCGTAGCGTTAAAATTAGGGGTTAAACTCTGAAACGCTGCCCTCAAAGCTTGCATCGACAAGTGTAGCCGAAATCCCCGCCCTGCGCTGGAAAAGACCAACTCCCGCAGGAAGCAAGCAGCCCTCATCAGAATGAAATTGCAAAAGGAAACTAAATTGGGTAGGGGGGTTCGGAAGTTGCTTTACAAACAAAGCATAATGCAAGCATTATCTCGGGCTACAGATCGTGAGTTCATTGCACATGAAACTGAATGTCAAAACGCTCCACCCCAAAACCCTTAGCCGTAGCCCTTCAGGGCCCTTGCTTATCCCTGAGACCCAGAAAGGGCCCCCAAGTTTCAGGCCCGGGCCCAAGGCTGCATTCCTTGGCCTCCTGCAAGAGGCGGAGCCTCGACTCGGAAATCAAAGGCGCAGCGAACGTCAAAAAATCCAACAAATTCTGCGCAGACCAATAAAGAAATCAGTATGTGTGCATCTCTGTAGACATGCGCAGATGAGTTGTATATGCGAAATGCATACATACATACATACATACATACATACATACATACATACATACATATACATACATAAGTATGTATACGGATGTGTGTGCGTGTGTATGTATGTACGTATGCATGCAAGCAACCATGTATGTATGTATGCATGCAAAGACATATGCGTAAGAAGGTGTGTGTACATATACAAATATCGAGATAGAACTATATATATATATATATATATTGATGATGATGATGATGATGACGCACACTTGTGTATGAATGCTATACTCATATGCATTCTATATCACTTTGGGCCCGGGCCCAAGGGGGTCAAGCGACAGCTTTCATCTCGAGAAGGTCGCAACATACAGCTTTAATAGGCCTTAGCCTCACGGCCCGTAGACATCCTGCGGAAGCCAGCATGTATGCTACTGGCATTCGTAGTTAGTACTAGCGTCTAGCATTATAGTGTTTGGATTAGCTCCTGCGAAGGGCTGACAACCTCAGCCCGCCGATTGGACCTAGACTCTAGACGCTCCCTGGATCGTGCACGCAGCCTTAGATTCCAACGATGCTTCTTGCTTCATTGCACACCCTTTGAACACCTAACGTTTCCCAAGGCCGTAAGGTCTGCGGCGGTCACATGCACCCTATGCGCAATCTGCCACCCGACTCGCAATTTGGAATCATCTCTGCAGTATCTGGGTTGCCGGCGTGCTCCTCGCCTATGTGACATTTGCAATGAGAGGCTGCGAGGCTGGCTTCAGCTACTTTCGACAATCCCGGTACTCAAAAGCAGAGGGCCTGGAAACTTCGAGCGCAAGCGCTGGCTGCGAGACCATAACCTGAAGGCGGCCAACTGAATCGACTCACGGACCTCTATAGCTAACCATTCACGGCTCTTTCTGTTGGCCTGGCAGGCAGGCAGTAAGAAAGCTGACCTGTGCACGCGAGCTCTTGTCGTTTGCAGACGAAACAGTCTGCTGCTCAGAAGCCCTCCCAATCGGAACGAAAGACATGGGCACGAGGGGCAGTCAAAGCCGCACATGCAGGTGTATATACATGTAGGTTTACAGGCCATAGACACTGGCAGCCTCTACTGGCTGTCACAAACTCTTCTGCTACCACGTAGTGCTACACGAGCGAAGAGAGCCAAATCAACTTGCAGATGGATAGATGAGTAAACAGTAATATCAGGTTGTACGCATTGCCTTGTATGCACAAGCAAACACTTGAGACACAGAGAGAGACAGAAACACAATCACGTACACACATAAAGCAATATGTAAAACGTAAATATGTCAACATAAACACATATGTAAATACACGGTATCTCGCGTATACATGTATAACATACAGGAAGCATAGATGTGCATGCATGCGCTCCCATCTCATCCCTGCATGCTGATTGCTGGCTCCAGCGCAGTACATAGCATGGGGGAACTCAACTCAATAGCACATGGATCCCTTAACCCCAAACCCTAACAAGTACATGCTGCAGGACCAAGTGACAGGATTCAGAGAGCTTCGTTCCGTGCACCTGGCACCACAGCGACATGGCGGTTGCGGTTTCAGCGCGCGCACTCAGACGCGCTAGGCGAAGGATAGGGCTTTGTGTGCATATATACACACATACACAGACAAAAATATAATTATATATATATATACACATACATACATACCAATGTATGTATATCATAGCATATGACATGACACACTGTGACATTAAGTATAGCATGATATAATCAAGCATTAGATAGCACATGTATTTATAAATCACACAGTATGACCGTGTTTGAAGGCATAACCAACACACGGCCACCATCTGGCCACCATTCATAAAGCGTCAAGCATGACGGGCCAAGGACAGGTCTTAGAGTAAAGCATGCTTGGTGCTAGACATGCAGGGCAAGGGTGCGGATCAACTCCATGTCCACATGCCACAAGGAATTTGCACCCCGCCTGCACGTTCCGCAGGCATGCCAAGGCGTGCCTTCGGACAGGGAGTGCGCGAAAGAGCCACCTTCTTGCAAAGGCAAGTGCTGCCTTATATAAAGTCTTGCCGTCTTGTATTCATGCTCGGCCTAAGCCCGGCAGCCGTAACCTTCTCAAACAAATGACTAGAACCCTTTTTGCATCCAGGACTCTTGCAAGCAGCCGGGAGTTATGACTAGAACCCTAAACCCGAAAACCCTACATCACGCAGTGGAACCCATTGAGGAACCAAAAGGTTGTGAGGCCCACGCTCCCACTGTCGACCTTTGCCGCAGGCGCCGAGAGCAGCCTTCGTTGTATCATTCTTAGGGTTTGTTGACACTCACACTCGCACAAGCCTGGCAAGGTCCGTAGCGATACTGGTTCAACGAGTCGTTGACACTGCACTCGGCACGTGTCACCAAGTACAACAGAGGAAGTTTCAAGACTATTTGACAGCAGCCCCACCACAGCAGGCAAACGATCTAAACCCCAAATATACACCAAAGACTCAAAGACCCACGACCTAGTTCAGGCTGAGTGGAGGACCTCTGAAACTCAAGGCCCCGGAATTTACACGACACAAAACGCATGATATCCTGACAATATGCAGACACTGCAAAGGCTTCACATGCAAAAGTTCATGCACGTTATGCATTCGACTCAGACTCCTATCTGCCGGCAAGGACTTTACACGTGCAGCCAGTAAGTCTACCGACTATTCTTGCATGCTCCAGAGTGCATTGCAGTGCATCACACTAGAACAGCGAGTCAGCATGTGGCATTCATCGCATTGCATTGCATCCCAACGACTATACAGAGCGAGTGAGGCAAAGTCGCCACAGCATTACAGGGTTTAGGGATTACCATCTGCAGAGAGCCTCTGAGCGGCTGATCGACACCTACAGTATGCGTCTCTCACTGCTCATACGAAGTAGCTCCTGCTACCAGGCAGGCCCCTTGAGACGCAGACTGCCACGGCCGTCGGCGCCTGCAGCGTCACGGAACATACCCTGAAACCCAAGGTTGCAAAGACAAGTTGATGCAAAACCTCGCGCCAAAAAAAATCTACGTCCTTGAACCCATAAGCTGGAAACCGAAGCCAAAAAGCCGAACGCGTCAAACCGCAAAGGCCCTGTCCTCAAATCCCAAACCCTAAAATCCGAAATAAGCATTGCTCCCACACACCCCAGCCAAAGACCATGAAGACTTTATGTTGAGAGTCTGGGGGCAGGGTGTTATGGGTTTGGTTTAGGGTTTCGACTCTCACACTCGCACAAGGATTAGGGGTTGAGGTCCAGGCTTTATATGGGTCGGGATTTGCACTCTCGCTACTTGGACAAGATAGGTTCGTAGCCGGCACTTACGAGAGACATGCGCTGCAAGTACAATGATTGCAAGTACAATGAATCACGGCATAAACACGGAACCCTGAACTATAGGGTTTAGTGAAAACTCAGCCCTAACACCCTGTCAGAGGCGAGCGCCAGCGTACCGGGACCAGCTTGAAGAAGTCGAAGGGCTGCAACCTTGAAGGGAAACTCCGGGAGATTGTATACATTGGGGCTATGCAGCAGCATACCTCGTGCGTGCGTGTGTGTAGCCTTGATGCTGTTTCGCTGAACACTTTGCCCGCACAACACCTGTTTTCATCAGGGTTGGTGCAACCGCCCGAAGACCCCCGAATCCCTAAAGTGAGCCCAACCCTCAAGCAGGCGATCCCACTGTAACCCTAAACAACCCCGAAGAACTCCTATAGAACCCATGCGCAAGTGTAGACTAGAAGGCTTACAGAACCCTCATAACCCCGAGGTCCCGTCTCCGCTTCATTTTCCCCGCTACTCGACGGCCCACCAGAACTCAGAGTCGCAGGATAGCTGGCGCGAGGGATCCTCCAATAGATCCAACTGCCTGGCCCCAGAGGGCTTTTTGACACTCGCACTCGGACAAGCCAGGGGTCTGTAGCTGGGTTTAGGGTTTGGGGCTCGAAGGCTTCAAGCTCAACATCAGGATTGAATGATAACTTTTGATACAGGGCCTCGAACAGTGTAATTTATCTCGAAGCTGAATGCAGCAGGCTTTCGTAATAATTAGTAAGGATCCAAAGCCCCTACGGCAGGTTTGGTTCGAATGCAAGCCTCTAGTCTTCCAAAAAAGAGGGCTTCGAGCAAACCTGTAAGACAATACAATGATGCAGTAGCACTGGCGGCAAGATCGATCACCTGAACAACAATCGTACCAACGAGAGCATGCCGCGCACCAAGAAGCAGAGCACAAAATCGCAGCAATCCCCCAAAAAGAATAATGATCTCAAGCTGCAGACTATGTGTATATATGCCCTTTTATGGCCTTGTCACAAGGCGCTCCATCTCTTCTTGGCCGGCTTCGAGGCTCGGAGGCCGGGCGGGCAGATCCCGGCGCGCGTACGCGCCCGGGGCCGCCGCGAGCCAGTAGGGGACGGAGACCTCCGTCTGCGATGCTTCATATTTAATGTTTGTGGCTTTCCCTTTTTCGGGGCTGGGCTCCTTGTGACTGCGACTGACAGATCAAGCAAGTCTAAGCCTCGTGCCTTAAGGCTAGCAGTGCCTGATAGTCGTGTACTTCCAGCCCTCAAATCTGATGCGTGCAGGCTAGCAAAGCGGCTGCACTGTTGGATGTTGAGAAGCAAAGAGCTCGGCCTGGTAACACCTGACCAAACGTGAAAATGCCACTGCTACTGGTAGTAACAGCAACATGATGATTACGATGAAGATGGTGCTGATGGTAATGATAACCATAGCTTCAGTATTACGACAGCTTGTGCAATTAATATTGCCTCTCTACTACATGTTGTAAGTTGTTACCACGCACTCAAAGATCCTACAGTCCAAGGCCCTCAAACTCTAACCTCAAAGCTCTTACACTATTGCATTCACCCTCCGGAATCGCCAAGAGACCAACGGATGGCCAAGGCAGGCAAACAGCCTGCGCTCGGTTCGGGGATGCTTGGTAGTATAGTTTTGTAAGCAAGTAGAGGGCTGTATCATAGATTTTACTTGAAGGTGTTAAGGACATTCGCGGTGTTATCGGCATCTACAAGGCTTTCGTAGTATATAGTAGGTGCTCCGGAAGCTACGGACATTATGGAACCGAGGCTTTTAAGGGCATGCCTTTCACCGACACGCAACACGCACACACACACACACAGNNGCATGCATGCATGCATGCATGTGTGGCCCCTACTGTATAACAACATGCGCTAATAGTTTAGCCTTAGTTTTTTCGACAGCGCAAGCCTGCGTTTCAGCACAGTGCGACCCCTGGGCCGCCAGAAAGGGCGCACACAGAAATGCGAAGGGCCATCGACCTGCTGTGCGACGGTAGGCAACTTGTAGCGTAGATGCAGAAGACATATACATGTATATATATATATATATGTATATATATATATATATGCATGCATGCATGCATGCATGCATGCATGCATGCATGCATGTCTGTGTATAAGTGTATATATTATATAT